ATGCCTATACATATATATATGTAATGTATGTCAATCATGCATATCGCTATATATATATATACCCTATACGTATATATTACTATATATTGTATATGTACTCTAACACACCCACTATACCTTATATATCGCCTAATACTATAATAATTACCATCATTATATACATACATATCATCAAGACTACTATATACATATATATATAACTACCATACACTTATATCAATAAACAATATATACTCAACTACTAATACACTCACTAACCACTATATAATATATATATCTCAACTAACCACTACTAATATATAAAACTAATATACTATACTAAACAATAATAAAACTAATATAACTGCTACAATGCTATATCCGTAATATGTCTATGTACTATATTATATATATATGTATATAATATACTATGCTAAATGTCACTCATGCACTCATATGCAATACTCAATGCTTATATATATAAACTATATATATTATATAAATATATATAAGTCAATGTATACATAATAAAATATACTATATGATAAAAATATATATATATAACTAAATAGTACACATCATACGATACAATAATAAATACAATATATATATATAAAATAAATAAATATAATACTAATAAATTAATAAAAAAACCTATAATACCAAAAATAAATATACACTATATATATTCATATATTTCCTTATCTGTATGTTTGTGACTGATGTATCATCAAACTATCACTAAATAACTAATAATAAATATAATATAAAAAACTCATACCAAATAAACTCATATAAATAAATCACATATAATAATATAAATAACTATACTATAACATAATAAATATCATTAAATAATTACAAATAATACAAAATAATAACAATGTACATACATACATATACCATAAAAAAAAATACCTCACATACTATACTAAAATATAAATAAATTACTATAAAAAAAACACCAACAAATAGCAATATAAAACTCATATATATATATATACTATTATATTTATATATACACAAATATTCTATCATCACAGATATAACAAACAATAAGAATAATACAAATACTACTATATAATATACTACATATATTATTTATAATTTAATACATGGCATCTAATATTAAGTTACATTTTATCCGGAATATAGTATAATATAAATAAAAATCATACATCATACACACACACAATAAAATACTAATATATAAATAAACACCCTACTACCTTATTAAATAAATTATAAGGAATAAATAATAATATCATACACTACAATACATAAATATAATAAAATATATAAATATTAATAATATAACATATATATATCACAATATATCATACATAATAATGTATATAAACTATTACACTACTATATATCATAAATAAAATGTATATATACAATAATTAACATACATCACCTATATAAACCCTAATAACTTATAACAAAAATAACTATATATATAAAAACTACTCACCTGAACATAAATAATATATATATATATATATATAAAATATACAACATAGATACCAAATATAAATTAATATGTATATATATATTCATGGCTTATATGTTTATTTTTCAGGAATATGTATATATGGCATATATATACTGCATATATATATATATTATAAAATATATATAATATAATATTATATATATAATATATATATATATATATATATATATAGAATATATATATGTTTCTTTTCTTTTCAGGAGTAAATATGGATTTCTATGAGGACGGTGAAATGCACAATCTGCACTGGATATTCTACCGAGTCATGTACAGTATTATCATCACGATAACCATCCCTTCCAGCTTTAACGCTACATTCTAAACAAACCAGAACTAAAAAAGAATCCCGTAAACAGGTAAGTCATGACTCTATGAACTTATTAAAAAAAAAGAAATAAAGAAGAAAAAGAAAAGGAAACTGAATAGGTCATTAATGGCATAAAGTAATATCGATCAGCTTATTGAACGATCGATTGAAAACCAATAATTGTCGTAATTATCAATTAATGACTTATGATAGCTTAATACATAGTGACGTACACTTCTGGAGTTACAGACTTTTGTTTATTTAACATCTGCACTTTTATTTTTTTTTTTTTTAGGTACTTCCTTTTGATGATCCTGTCTGACTTCGCCATGTCCATCTGTATCATCCCCTCCATTGTGTCTCTGAACGGGTGTGTGTTCTGGAGCTACAGCTTCGCCTTCTACTTCGCCCACTTCGGGTGGTCGCTGGAGACCCTCTACCAGATGCTGAGCGTGTACATCCTCCTCTGGATCTCCTTGGATCGATTCATGGCCGCGTGGAACATCCCTTTGTTCAGCCGGGTGTACAAGGACGGGGTTATTCTGAAGAGGATGGTTGCCACCTTCATTTTCTGCGTGTTCTCGCATCTCCAGAAATTCATTTGCGCCGAGGTCAAGTGCCTCAAGGCGCTGACTCCAACTGCACCATTCAAGATCCTCCGATTTGTTCCCCGTACGAGGACAACTCCGCCTTGA